ATATATATATATATATATATACTGCAAGCAAACATGAAGAATGAAGACGCATAAAAAGCACAAAATTACATTTTATTAAAAGCATACAAACACATTGACAAAGGGGCTGTCTCACTTTTAGAGCTCTTCTTCTCGCTCCTGTGGGATTTGTCTTTGCTGCTTCTACTGCTGCTGCTGCTGCTGCTGCTGCTGCTGCTGCTGCTGCTGCTGCTGTTGCTGCTGTTGCTGCTGCTGCTGTTGCTGCTGCTGCTGGCACTTACAGCTGCTTTTATCTGGGCCTGTTGCTGCTGTTGAAGGAGCATCATTTCTCTTTCTCTCTTTTTTCTTTGGATTTGCCGTTCTAACTCCTGGCTGTGTTTTAGCTGCTGCTGCATAATTGCTGCTCTTCGTTTCTGCTGCTCCAGCAGCAGCAAATGTTGCCGCTGCTGCTCCTGTGCGCTGCGACTTCTATCAAACGCATTGGTGGGGGCCCCTAAGGCGCCCCCCCCTACAACCCCAGCAGCAGCAGCTTGTTCTAAGACAGCATTTGCTGCTGCTGCAGCGCTAGAAATGGCGTTGCGTGATACACCTAAAGGTAATGGAGGTGCTGCTTTTGTTGTTTTTCTTATTATTGTTGTAGAACGAGTTGCCTGAACTTCCGGCAAAGAAGAAGTCTCTGGAGACCTGCACTTGCGGTCAGGCGAAGGAGTACGATCCCGATCCCGATCCCGATCCCGATCCCGATCCCGACCCCCAGCACTAGAAGACGCCGCCCCCTTGCCGCCAGCAGGCTACAGCAACAGCAGAAGCAACAACAGCAGCAGCAGGAAGAAAAGCAACAGCAGCAACAGAAGCAGGAGCAGAAAGAGCAGCAGCAGCAGCAGGAATAAGCAGCATTCATAAAAGCCAATACAAATGCCTTATATGCATGCATTGCTATAAGGGGGTCTTCTACTGATGGCAGCAGCGCATGCAGCAGCAGACCACGAGAGAAGAACAAAACAAAAACAAGACTCCGCCTGCTGCTGCATGCAGCAGCAGTCGGCATTAACCACTCAAATCATGCTGCTGGTGTTGCTATGATTGCTGTTGCTGCTGCTGGCGCAGCTCTATATCTGCTGCTGCTTCTGCTGCTATTGTTGCTGGTAATGCTGGCAAAGCTCTATTGCTGCTACTGCTGCTGGCGAAGCTCTCTTGGTGCTGCTGCTGCTGCTGCTGCTGTTGCTGCTGTCTCTATGTACCTCTTTTCCTTCCATTCTGTCTGCGACAATTGCACGATATTTTGCTGCATTTTTGTTGTTGGGCTCCAACGCCAACGCCGCCTCCAAGTCAGCAACAGCCTTCTCGTAGTCTAGCTACAAACAGAAAATAAATAAACAAATAAATAATAAATAAATAAATTTAAGATAAATTGGTTATTAAATTAGTAATAGACGGACGGAAATCAAAAAAATAATAACGGGCGGACGAGGGAAGCGGGCGTGGAAGCAGCAGGCAGAGAACAGACAGAAACCCCAAACCCTAAACCCTAAACCCTAAACCCTAAACCCTAAACCCTAAACCCTAAACCCTAAACTCAAACCCTAAACCCTAAACCCTAAACCCTAAACCCTAAACCCTAAACCCTAAACCCTAAACCCTAATAACCCTAAAGAACCCTAAACCCTAAACCCTAAACCCTAAACCCTAAACCCTAAACCCTAAACCCTAAACCCTAATACCTTAAACCCTAAACCCTAAACCCTAAACCATAAACCATAAAAAGATCGGAAGAGCGTCGTGTAGGGAAAGAGTGTAGATCTCGGTGGTCGCCGTATCATTAAAATTAAATGCGAGTGGCACTGCATCTATACCAGGGTAGAATTGGTGGTTTACATTATTGGCATTAGCCGTTCCAGCAGCCCCCTAAACCCTAAACAACCCTAAACCCTAAAACCTAAACAACCCTTCACCCTCACCCTAAACCCTAAACCCTAAACCCTAAACCCCTCAAGCCCCTTGCACATGGGTGGCATGGATTGTTTACTTTATTAGCATAAGCTGCTCCCCTCGCAACAAGAGCATCTGCATAATCAGGCCTCAGCTGCAGCGCTGAGTCATACAGCTGAATCGCTTGCTCCAGCTGTCTACGCCGTGCGCATGCTACCCCCGCCTTTAAACGCCGCTTTGCCCAGTCTGCCCCCTGCTGCTGGGCCAGCAAACGACCCACACTGCATGCACAGACAGAAACAAACACAAGCACAGAAGAAGATATATATATATATATATATGCATATATATATATATATATATAGATCCAGATATGCATGCATGCATGCCATACATAATAGATCTGTACGCATATATACAGATGAATGCATGCATAAATGCACGTGCATGCATGCATAGAGGTGCATACATGCAGCACCCAAGCAGCTGTTCTCCCCATCTCCCAAATGCCCCGTATACGCCACATGCATGCATACATGCATGCACGCAGCCAAATGCATGCATGCATGCATGCAGCCAAATGCATGCGTGGAGCCCCAGATAAGAATAAAGAGTGCATCGGACGCACCCTCCTCCTCTGACTGCAGCGTCAGTCTCTGCTTTTGCAATTGCCACGCGAATTGCATGCGAAGGAGATGTGGTGCTTAGAAATGAAAGGAAGCAGCCGTCGCTAAGGCGCTGCAGAAGGGCCTCCCAGGCCTCTGCTTCTGAGCATATAAGCGCTCTATTATTGTCGTTTGAAGCCTTCTTGCGCGCACTGCTGCTGCTGTTGCTGCTGCTGCTGCCGCTGCTGCTGTGGGGTTCGGGGCTGGGGGCCATGCCCAACATTTGCAAAGCAGAAAATGCATGCAGGCGTCTGTGAGCAGCAACAGGATTCATGAAGGACCCGCTGCTGCGCAGCAAATAAGGTAGACGCTGCAGCAGCAAACTGCTGCCTCCATCCCACCACTGCAGCAGCTCCTTAGACTCAGCATCTCGAGGCAGCAGCAATGAGCGGATCTCTGCAAAATCTGCTGCTCCAGGCTGCGGGTGCGCGGAGTCGTGCGGCAGTGCAGCACAAAACCCTGAAAACAAACAAATAAACAAACAAATAAATAAATAAATAAATAAACAAATAAATAAATAAATAATATTCATATTCACATATTAGTTAAATGATTTGTTAATAATAATTAATATTATTAATAATTTTTAAGAAAGAAATAAATGCCCATTCATAGATAAGGCCTAAATATACAGTAAATGCGAGTGCATGCATTTTTGCTGCTTTTCATAAACATCAAAATAAATTTAAAGAATAAACAATAAATAAAAACATAGACATAAAGATAAACGAAAAGAATAAACACAAAAAAATACAGAACAATGATAGCACAACGCCTTCAACTAGCAGCGCCCTGCAGCAACCGAGGAACGACAGCAGCAGCAACAGCAGCAGCAGCAGCAGCAGCAGGGAGTGTTGCTGCTGCTGCTGCTGCTGTTTGTATTTTCTATTCCTTCTTACCAAGAGGCTCCTGCAGGCGCTGCATCATCTCGGGGTTTGTCTTAAAGGAGTCTGGCAGCTGCAAAGAGGCCTCAACATGTGCATGCGCTGCGTTGAGGGTGGCTTCGTCTAGCAGCGGCTGCTGCAGCTGCGCACCTCGCCCCGCTGCTGCTGCTGCTGCAGCAGCAGCAGCAGCAGGAGGGGATGCTGCTCGTGGCACCAAACAAACACGCAACGCAGTACCCACACAAACAAAACGCCCGCAGCAACCGCTCGCCTGCCCGCCAATGAACTGCAGCCACAGCAGCAGCAGCAGCAGCAGCAACAGCAGCAGCAGCACAGCAGAGGAAAGAGCAGCAAACATGAAGTTAATCTTCTGCAGCGTTCAATATGCCATGCAGCAAATGCCGGATTGGGATCGGGATCAAGTTGCTGCTGCTGCTGCTGTTGCTGTGGTTGCTGCTGCCGTTTACCTCATAGCGCGGAATAGCTGCAAGGGGCAGCGCTGCGTAGATGCCGCTGCTGCCGATATCCACCTCCGCCCTCAGCAGCCGCCTCTTAAGGTATTCGCTCCCCTCTAAAGGCAGCTGCTGCTGCTGCTGCTGCTGCAGTGGTGGTGGTGGCGGTGGTGGGGGCGGTGTTGTTGCTGCTGCTGGGGAGCCGCATGTGAAGTCCTGCGTGTAGTTTCTGTTGTATGGTGCTGCATATACACCCGGAGGTTGAGGTGTATAGGGAGGTGGTGGGTTGGGCGTTGGATATGTAGCGTTGTTGTGGGGTGTTTGCTGGGGTGTATCTGCAGCTTGGCGCTGCTGTTGGGGTGTCTCTGCAGCTGTTTTTTCTGCTGTTTCTTCATATAACTCCACGCCTACCAACCGCAGCAGCAGCAAATCCCTCTCTCGATCGCAGCGCACAACCCAACAACGTAAAACTGCAGAAGGGCTGCAAATCAAATTTATGAATTCTCTGCGACCCGCGCGACCACCAAGCACGCGACGCCATACCTGCACAGACACCCCAATGCATGCAGAGACCCCAATCTAATTCTTTACACTGCAGCAGCAGCAGCATCCATGCATGCATGCTTTTATGCAGCAGCATGCACGCATGTATGGAGCAGCAGCATGGATGCCTGCATGCATCAGCAGCATGGCTGGACGCCTGCCACGAGCAGCAGCAACAGCAGCAGCAGCAGCATGCATGCATGCATGCATGCATGCATGCATGCATGCATGCATACTTACGCGATTTGGTGCTGTTACAGAATCAATGATGAAGCACCCCTCGACTAAATTGTCTCCTTGCAGACTTCTAAGCAGCTCGAGCTGCTGCCTAGCAGTTAAACCACTTTGCTGCAGCAGCTGCCGCCAGACGCGGCCAGCGCTGCAGCCTAAAGCAAAGAAAGCAGCATCTGGGAATGAAGCATTTGTATGGGGAAGCTGCTCCTGAAGCCCCCAGCTACCTCGCCGCTGTGCATGCGAATGCAGCAGCAAACGCTGCTGCTGCTGCTGCTGCTGCAGCAACGATGGGCGCACTGTGGGGCGGTAAGGAAATAGAGGCATTTGCTGCCCCCTAGCATATGCAGGAAGCGGCTTGTATGTCTTAACTGAAGGGTCGATCTGCTGCTGCTGCAGCAGGAGAAGCTGCTGCTGCTGAGAATGCATGCGCTGTCGCAGCAACGAAGACAGCTTCTCAAGCAGCTTCTTCTTTAACTCGCTGCACTGGAGTTCAACTGCTGCTGTAGCAGCAAATATACCTCCCCTCTCTATCTGCGGCAATGAACACTCTTCTCTGCTCCCTGCTGCTGCTGTTCCTGTTGCTGCTGTTCCTGCTGCTGCTGATGATGATGGTGATGTTACAGATGCAGCAGTCGGTGCAGCAGCAGCAGCACCAGAGACAGGTGGGTTGGCTCCTGGGGATGGGTTTGCTGCAGCTGTTTGTGATGCTGCTGCAGTTGCTCCTGCTGCTGCCGGTGTCTCTGCTGCTGCTGCTGCTGCTGGCTGTTCCGAGGCATTCTTCGTCTCTGCGGCTGAGGAGGCGCTGTCTCCGCTTGCATTTTCCCCTGCTGCTGCTGCTGCTGCTGCTGCTGCGGGTGCTGCTGGTGCTGCTGTTGTTGCTGTTGCTGCTGCTGCAGGTGCTGCTGGTGGAGCTGCTGCTGCTGCTGCTGCTGCTGCTGCTGCTTCTTTAAGCTTAGCCTCATGTAGCCGGGGCTGGGCGAAGACAGCAGCAGACAGCGAAGCAGCAAGAGACTGCTGCATTTTATCTAACAGCCCGCTTTCTTGTAGCTGCAGCAGCGCAGCAAACAAAAACAAATGCATGCAGAGACACCTCAACAGACACCCCAACAAATACAGCGAAACACCTGCCCCCCTGTCTCCTCCTGCTGCTGCAGCAGCAGAAGCAACGCATGCTGCAGTAGCTGCAGGAGCACCAGCGCAGCAGCAGCAGCAAAGCAGCAGCAAAGCAGCAGCAGCAGAAATAAAAGATGAAGAGACGCAGCAGCTACAACACCACGAGGAGACAGCTCAACAAACAAAGAGAGAGATATAAACAAATATAAACAAAGACAAACAGAGAAAAACAAATATAAACAAATATAAACAAAGACAAGCAACGGAAGCAACAAACAAAGGCAAAAAAAACAAAAAACAGAGACAAAGAGAGATAAATAAAAAATAAAAAACAATTAAGTCTGCTTACAACATCAAGCATGTTGTCTAATTCCTTATCAAGAGCCGCAGCAAACGAATCCCAGTCGCACTCCTCTGCTGCGCTGCTGCTGCTGCTGCTGTTGTTGCTGTTGCTGCTGCTGCTGTTGTTGCTGCTGCTGCTGCTGTCTGTTGCGGGTTTGCATGCTGTGTGCCTGTTGCAGCAAATTGCTGCAGCAGCAGCTGTTGGGGGCCCAAAGAGAGAGAAAGGATCAGCCTCTTGCTGCTGCTGCTGTTGCTGCTGCTGCTGCTGCTGCTGCTGCGGAGCTTCCCCTCCGAATTTACATGCAGCAGGGTCTCCGCATGCACAGACTTGAGGGTCTAGGAAACGAAAAGAAGCAGATAAATGTTTTAAATTAGCTGGAGTGCATGCAGCAAGAATAACACGTCTAAAGGGGAGGCCACTGGGGCCCCCCTCAGCAGTATCATATTGAGGAGGTGGGGTTGTTGTTATTTGCTGCTGCTGCTGTTGCTGCAGGGCGTGCTGCTGCTGCTGCTGCTCCCATCCCTGCTTCGAACTCTGCTGCTGCGCCTGCCGCTGCTCCTGCTGCTCTTGCTGCTCCTGCTGCTGCTGCTGCTGCTCAGCTTCATCGAATTCATCTGAATCTGAAGCTGCGCTTCCGCCTCCTGGTTCGCCTGTGAGTACGAAGCCGTCTGCAGCAGCAGCAGCAGCTGCTGCTGCAATAGCAGCAGCAGCAGCACCACCCTCTTCTCTGCAGCGGAGAGAAGAAGACTCACTGCCCTTCGAAGCCCCTAATGGAGTATCAGAGGCCCCCATCATAGGCGAAGTAAAAAGCAGATGAAAACAGAGATAACAAACAAAAACAAAAAAAGATAGCTATTAAAGAGCAGCGAGACCCAGCAGAGACAAACAAATAATTAAATATATTATAATTAATGGATAATATAAACATCGGGAGAAGAAAGAAGAAAAAGTAAATTATGCAACAAACACCAGCAAGATCATCTATGAAACGCAAATTAATAATAGACAAAATAAATAGAAAGCCTTGTGCAGATGCTGCTGCTGCTGCTGCTGCTGCTGCTGCTTTTGCTGTTTCTGCTGCTGCTGCTGTTGCTGATGATGCTGCTGCTGGAAGTATCTATGAAATACAAAGGAGAAACCTTGCAGCTGCGGCTGTCCAGCAGCAGCAGCGGCAGCAGCAGCAGCAGCAGCACGAGCAGCAGCAGCACGATCAGCAGCAGGGGGGCAGCCGGCTGGGCGAAGATGATAATTGGAGGTAAAAGAGTAAAAAGGAAGACAGAAATTTAAACGAAAAAAGAAATACAAACAAAATTAAAGATAAGCGAGCGATAACAGACCCTGCAGAGCCCCAGCAGCAAGCAGCGCGAGGCGCTGCCCTCAGCCGGTGAAATAAATAAATAAAAGAAAAAACAAAAGAAAAAACAAATTAAAAGGAAAAAGAAATATTAAATTCTATACAAAAAAACAACAACATTGCCTCATCAAGAGCTACAGCTAAAACATTGATGCATGCATGCATGCGTGCATGCACGCATGCATGCATTAATGTTTTAAATAAAAATAAAAGAATTATTTGGTTTATTAATCTCTTTCTTTGTTTTACTTTCTTTTTCAGAGGCGTTAATAGAGCTGCAAAGGACGCCCCCTTTGTTCTATTGATTTAGCGTTTGGGGTTTAGGGTTTAGGGTTTAGGGTTTAGGGTTTAGGGTTTAGGGTTGTTACTTCCTTCTGTCTTTTCGCTGATGGGGAGGGAGGAGACACAATAGAATCAGAGAAGCCCTTCGGCTTGCTGCTGCTGCTGCATGCATGCATTTGCTGCTGTGTGCATGCATTTGCTGCTGCAGCAAACGCCACTTGCCTCATCCTTTTGCTGTCAACCTCGCACCTCACGCAGCAACAGCAGCTGCAGCAGCAGCAGCAGCCTCAGCAGCAGCATTAGCAATAGCAGCAACTGCAACCAGTGCTTGAGCAGCAGCATCAGCAAGTTGTGCAGCAGCAGTATCACCCACCGCTGCAGCAGCAGCAGCCGCAGCAACAAAAACAACAAAACTAACAACAACAACAACAACAACAGCAACAGCAACAGCAGCAGCAGCAGCAGCAACAACTGCCCTTCCTCTTTCTATTGCTATGTTTAGAGTTCGTGGGGTTGGCCTCCAGGCCCCCCGCAGCAGCTTCTATAGCTTACCGCTGCTGCAGGCAGCTGCTGCGCTGCAGGCTGGGGTCGCCACCGTTTGTTGCTGCTGCGGTGCATGCGCTGCTGCTGCTCCTGCTGCTGCTGTATGCAGCAGCCCCTCCAAGTATGCCCTTCCCCGCCGCAGAAGCAACTACTGCAGCAGTCATGGGGGAGCCGCGCCCCCTCTAGAAGCAGCAGCTGCAGCAGCAACAGGAACAGCAGCAGCAGCAGCTGCTGCTGCTGCTTCTGGACAGCCCAGCGCAGCTGCCCTGGCGGCGCGTTGCTGCCGCCTGTTTAGCAGCAACAGCAGCAGCCGCTGCATAAGCACCAGCAGCAGCAGCTGCAACAGCCGCAGCAGCCGCCGCAGCAGCAGCAGCAGCATTTGTTCTGCTGCTGCTACGCAAGAAGCCTTCGGGTGTATGGGCAGCTTGCAGCAACGGCGCAGCGTGCGAACCGGCTTCTTCCGCAGTGACCCCGACTTTATTGATCCAGAGAAAGTCTTGGTGAGAACAACCCTAAACCCTAAACCCTAAACCCCAAACCCTAAACCCTAAACCCTAAGTGCATGCATGCGAGGTGAGCTGCTGCGAGGCTGTCTTGTATACAGACAGCTTCCTCTGGCTGTCTATACGCCCGCTAATGGATTGCTGATGGGTCTGCTTTAGGGTTTAGGGTTTAGGGTTTAGGGTTTGTCTCTCGTTTCTTAGCTGTGTCTTTCATGTTTATTTTAATTTTTCTTTTTGACGTTCACCCCATGTTCCATTTGTCTCCCTTCTGCTGCTACTTCTGCTGCTTCTGCTGCCGCTGCTGCTGCTGCTGCTGCTGCTGCTGCAGTTTGCTGAATCAGCTGACGAGTGGCGCCACGCAGACGGCAGCGGGTCGCTGACTGAAGCGGTTTTAAGTCGATCGAATGTCGGCATGGGGATCTGCATCCTCAACAGGTCACTACGAATGCTGCTGCTGCTGCTGCTGCTGCTGTTGCTGCTGCTTCTGTCACTACTAATGCTGCTGCTGCTGCTGTTGCTGCTGCTTCTGTCACTACTAATGCTGCTGTTGCTGCTGCTGTTGCTGCTGTTGCTGTTGATGCTGCTGCTGTCACTACTAATGCTGCTGCTGCCGCTGCTGCTGCTATTGCTGCTGCTGTTGCTGCTTCTGATGGTACTGCTGCTGCTGCTGTTGCTACTAGTGCTGTTGCTGCGGCTGTGGCTGTTGCTGTGCCTGTTGCTGTTGCTGCTGCTGTTGCTGTGCCTGTTGCTGTGGCTGCTGCTGTTGCTGCTGCTGTTGCTGCTGTTGCTGCTGCTGTTGCTGCGGTTGTTGCTGCTGCTGGAGTAACTGCTGCTGGGTAGGCGTCTGAGTTTGTTTTTCATGCTTGTTTGTTTAGTGCAGCAGTTTGCTGCAGGGGTGCAGTGAGAAAGAAACATTTGAGTGTGTCCATACATGCATGCATGCATAAACCCTAAACCCTAAACCCTAAACAGAGACAGTCTAGTGAAGGGTTTATTAGAAGAAGATGCCCACAGCCTCTATATAAGGGTTTACACCGCATGCAGACAAAACTCACACCATATTTATATGGACCCCTAAACCCTAATCCCTAAACCCTAAACCCTAAACCCTAAATAGGTTTAGAAAAAGCAAACCACAGGCCTAGCATTCGTAGCTTTTGGGGCTGACCCTCTCGCCCCCTCATTTCTCTTGTTTGTTGCTGTCCTTGATACTCGTTGTCTTGTTTCCTCTTATTAGGGTTTAGGGTTTAGGGCTTAGGGTTTAGGGTTTGCGGTTTATGGCTTGTTGCTTAGGGTATAGAGTTTAGGGTTTCTTATTTTTCGGTTTAGTGTTTAGAGTGTAGGATTTATTGAATAGGATCTACTGCTTAGTTTTAAGGGTTTAGGGTTTGTGGTTTGTGGTTTAGGGTTTAGGGCTACTGGTGAGGGTCTACTGTGAGTAGTTTATTGTTTATTATTTTCTGTTTATTGTGTAGGTGTATTTGTTTATAGTTTATTATTTATTCTTTAGGGTTATTTATTTTTTATTTATTGTCTATGGCTTATCGACTAGGGTTTGTGGTTTAGGGTTTAGGGTTTAGGGTTTAGGGTTTGTGTGCAGGGCGCACTACGACAGCGAATGCATTTTTGGGCTGTACAGACGGCTGCGCGATTTGCAAATAAATTCACTCAAAAGATTTTGCTGCATCACCAGCAGACGCCGCTCCCTCTTCTCTTTGGGCTTGGCTCCGCAAGGTCTATATATATATATAATGCATATGTATATATATATATATATATAATGCATGCGTATATGTATATTTATATATATATGCATATATATATATATATATGCGTATATATATACATATATATGTGTATATATGCATGTGTATATAG